CTCTTTTTGCCTTTATTGATTCGAAACTTTATTCTATAAACTATTGAACTATAAAGATGAAAAGAGTTTATATATAATATGAACTAAATATACAGCTTTGTTTTTGTTCAAATTAATCTAATTAGAAATGTCGGAAGGTAATTTTCAAGGCAAAGACCCCATTTATAGCTATTTCATAAATTCTGAGACACCCTAAAAAATAAGCTATTTATCTCGGTGCTATATATATATAAATGTATATATAAATGCATAATATATATATATTTGTTACTAAGATTTTCAAAACATATTCGTTAAAAAATAGTTGAAAAGAGTTTAGAAGGCTTCAGTTAGCAATAAAAAATCGTAAAGACTTTCTGTTTCTCATAAAATTATTTAAATATAATCAATACTTAGTTCTTTAATTCATTAATAATAAAATATAGGTTTAGCAGAATAAACTTAAACCAAATACCAAAACATTTAATATTCCGATTTATAAACAAATATTCTCAAACAAGACTATGCTTATCGCTATCAATATCTTTGGCTTCATTATCAACATTCTCAACATTTTCAATGTCTTCAACATTTTGAATTTCATTATCAATGTGTTCAACATCTTGGACTTCACTATCAATGTGTTTAACATCTTGAACTTCACTATCAATGTCTTCAACATCTTGAATATCCTCATTTTTATTTCTACTAATTATCGTTCTTTATTGATTCTAACTTTATTTAAAAAGGTTAAGTATCTATATAATGGATAACTAAATTTCAAAATATTTCAATTATTTGGTAAATATAATAGGACTAATTACTAAAGCCTAAAACTTTCTGTAGTAATACCTAACTTTTTCCATGTTAATTAACTCTTTTCACTTTGATACTTTACAAGATAACAAGATGTTTTTATCAGGTACTATTTTTATTCTAGCAATCGAAGTAAAGGTTTGACTATATTTTAAATCAAATTTTTATTTATTTATTTTCTGCATAATAATTACATTATAAATCTCTACTTTACATACTTAACATCTGTCAAAATGTCAAAAATGTCAAAATAAACTGAATAACCAAATTTGTCAATTATTATGGTTATCGTTATCGTGCCTGGCTCATCTTATTCTCTGACTTATATAGTAGTTACACAATGCAACATTACACCTTTGACACCAAATTTAGACAAAATGATATTTAATTTCAAACAAAATGACAATTAATTTCAGACAAAATGACATTTAATTTTATACAAAATGATATTTAATTTTATACAAAATAACATTCAATTTCATACTAAGTAATATTTAAATTCATACAAGTTGATATTCAAATTCATACAAAATGATATTTAAATTTGTACAAAATAGCAATTAAAATAAAATTGTTTAAATTGTGATATTTCATGATTTAGTGATTCAATTTTAATGATTTTAATGCCAATTAAATTCTTTTAATGAAACAATTTGAATAATACCAAAATCATTTAAATTGGATTACTAAATTTCAAGATATCATGATTTAATCAACCTTATTTTA